CGTCGATGGTACTTGTGTTACTCCAGAAATTAATCAAAAGGTATACGTTTTCGACGTACCTGAACAACCTAGGGAACCCAGTGGTCCACCACCTGTCATTCCTCCACCTCGTGTTGACCACAATATCCTCTTTGTGCGTCTACCTGAAGACGCAGCAGGACCTGAGCCTATCATTCTTCCACCACCGAGGACACAAAGCATTGTGTACGTCCTCAACAAGAAGAAGGAAGAGGGTCAGCGTGTGATCGAAGTACCAGCTCATCCTCAGTCCGATCCTGAAGTCTACTTCGTCAACTACGAAGACGGAGAAAATCCGACTCTTCCCATTGGTGTCGACCTTGAGACTGCTCTCGGTGCAGCCGCCGCAACAAGTGGTCAGGTTCTCGGTGGAGCTGGAGGATTTGCTGGAGCTTCAGGCGCTGCCGGAGGCCTTGGTGGATTCGGTGGCGCTGGAGGTGCTGCAGGAGGCCTTGGAGGATTCGGTGGAGCTGGAGGTGCTGCTGGAGGCCTTGGCGGATTTGACGGAGCCGGAGGTGCTACCGGAGGCCTTGGAGGATTTGGTGGAGCTGGAGGTGCTGCTGGAGGCCTTGGTGGATTTGGTGGAGCCGGAGGTGCTGCCGGAGGCCTTGGAGGATTCGGTGGAGCTGGAGGTGCTGCTGGAGGCCTTGGTGGATTTGGTGGAGCCGGAGGTGCTGCCGGAGGCCTTGGAGGATTCGGTGGAGCTGGAGGTGCTGCTGGAGGCCTTGGTGGATTTGGTGGAGCCGGAGGTGCTGCTGGAGGCCATGGTGGATTTGGTGGAGCCGGAGGTGCTGCCGGAGGCCATGGTGGATTTGGTGGAGCAGGAGGTTCTGCTGGAGGCCTTGGAGGATTTGGTGGAGCCGGAGGTGCTGCTGGAGGCCATGGTGGATTTGGTGGAGCAGGAGGTGCTGCCGGAGGCCATGGTGGCTTCGGCGGAGCTGATGATAGCCACGAAATTATCCCTGGTGTACTAGCTACATCTCCAGTAATTGCGCCTACTCCTTCTGGCGTGTATGGTACACCCTGATAGAAAGCACGATGATCTAATGAGGGTAAAATAGAAATTAAAAATATATTTATATTATTGTAATACATATCTTACTGAATAAATAAAGACGATCAGTACACATTTCTCCATTATTTTTGTTAATCTCTTGTTCATTATTTTGAAATGAAATTAATTCGGGAGACTTACTTTTCACTGTATATAAAGTCCATTAAGATGCATCGATATAGTGTGTGTGTGTGTGTATATATATATATATATATATATATATATATATATATATATATATTTATATTTATATAATAATATATATAAACATATATTCATATAATGATATACATACAAACGTACATAGACACAAATGCATGTATACACATAGTGTATATATACATACATACATATATATATATATATATATATATATATATATATATATATATATATATATATATATATATATATAAATGTGTGTGTGTTTGTGTACAGGATATATATGTATACATATATACAGTGCCTATATGCACATACACTCACACACACATGTATATATGTGTGTATATATATATATATAGATAGATAGATAGATATAGATATATATATATAAGTTTCATATTCAAGGAGACATATCGATAGAATACATATGTATGTATGTATGTATGTATATGTGTGTGTATATATATATATATATATATATATATATATATATATATATATATATATATATATATATATATATATATATATATATATATATTAATCATAATAATAATACCGCTGTTTCTATCTAAATATAAAGTAGTTTTACGTTATCATTACCGTTATGATGCAATTACCGTCGCATTTTATTGCTTTGTCTTTGTATTTACATCCATCATCATCATAATAGTTAAAAACTGAGAAAGCCGTACGTTACCAATCACATTTATACAAATGATAATTGAATAATATCAACTCCGTTGATAATAAAGAAAATTATGCTAACGCAGGTGATAACTACGATTATGGTTATTGATATTGATAAGGATGAATAATTATTGATGATGTAATGATGATGATCATGAAAGTGATGGTGACGGTGACAGCTATTATCGTCTTTTTTATTTCCTTTTCTTATCATCATCGTAAATGTAATCACTATCATCACGATCTGTGTCATTCATATGTCTATATATTCTACGATGCACAGCTTATGTGTAATCAATTCTTTTCTGTTTTCTACACCTTCACATCCTTATTATTATCATTATCACTATTATTATTATAGTTATTGTTGTTGTTGTTATTATTATTATTGTTGTTATTATTACTATTATTGTTATTATTGTTATTATTATTATTATTATAATTAATATTTTTTCTTATTATTATTATTATAATTAATATCTTTTATTATTATTATTATAATAATTAATATTTATTATTATTATTATCATTATCATTTCCATTCTTATTATTATCAATATTATTATCATTATCATATGTATTATCTTTATTTTTTTATTATATATATTATCATTATTGATAATCATTACCATTATTATTATTATTATCATTATTATTATTATTATTATTATTGCTATTATTATTATCATCTTTGTTAACATCATTATTATCATCATTGTTATTATTATTATTACCATTTCTATTATTATTTTCCATCATTTTCATTTCTATCATTACCATTGCTATAATAATGATAATAACAATAATAGTAATAACAATTATTATAGCTATTTTTATTATTAGTAGTAGTATCTTTATTATTACCATTATTATCGTTATCATTATCATTATTATTATTATTGTTATTATCATTGCTAATTCTACAACTACTATAATAATTATTATTATTGTTACTACGATTATCCTTATTATTTTTATTATCATGATCATTATCACTTTTACTATTATCATAAATCATTACTATCATTTTCATCATTGTCATTTGTTATTATTTTTATCAATATTATCATTATTGTCTTCAATACTATCATTATTATAATTATGATTATTTTCTTTTATTAGTATCATCATTTTTGCAATTATTATTACTTTCTCATAATTTTCATCCTCATCGTCATCATTATCATTTAATAATTACTGCTATCCTTACCATTATTTAAATCACTATTGTTAATGTTTTAATAATCATCATTTTTATTATTTTCGTTATCATTATCTGTAGTAGTAGCTGTATTGGCAAAAACAATACTGTTAGCATGATGACTATGATCATTATTTCTATCATGATTAATGTAATCATATTTTTTTATTATTATTTAATTTCCCATAAATAATAGTAGTTGCAGTAGCCTCATTATCATTCTTATTACCAGCATTACTGTTATCCATTGACAGATATATATGATTACGTTCATACAGGACTGTTCAGACAGCCGGTTAAAATCGGATGCAATATGTGCTGAGACATGTTTTAGAGTTCGGTCATTAATTAACCAAATCAGTTAGATTTACGTAATACTATTAATTCTGATGCTAGTATTATTATTGACATTAACCTAAAATCCTTACAGTGTTTTTAAAAATACAAATAACAATGCAATATGCAAAAATAATATTTTCAGAAATTCAAGGAAAAGAGAACATTTGAGAAAGATAACTGGGATTCATAAAAAAATAAACAGCCAGTGAAGTAACTAAGTACGGTATAAAGGAATCAGGTGAGATAAGTCCCCAATCTAGAGAGAAACGGGTGAAGGTCACAGCTACAGTTGAACAATATATAAAGCTGCAGTCTTCATGGACTCGTACACTCATCTAACATGAAGCTCCTGGTAAGCAAGTTCGCGGAGAGATTATTTACAAACGCAACAAAAGATTTCTAATAGTTATCATATTTATGATTTTAACTTCATACTTTAAATAAAATTTACATTATATAACCTATCATATATTTCGAACCATAGACTGATATTATGTAAACTTTGCTAATCAGAATTTAAAACTCTCCACAGATCATATTGCCAGTACTGGTTGTTGCAGCGTCTGCAGCGCTCCAGACGTACTCTTCCCCAGAAGCAGGGCAAGGTGGACACTCTGGCGGGGTTCCACTTCCTTCAGTAGCCGGGCACTCGACTGCTGCTGGCCACTCTGCAGCAGCATGTAAAGAAGGTGAAGTCCTGCACGTTGATGGCACTTGTGTTGTCCCGGAAATTAATCGAAAGGTATACGTTTTCGACGTACCTGAACGACCTAAGGAACCCAGTGGTCCACCACCTGTCATTCCTCCACCTCGTGTCGACCACAATATCCTCTTTGTGCGTCTACCTGAAGACGCAGCAGGACCTGAGCCTATCATTCTTCCACCACCGAGGACAGAAAACATCGTGTACGTCCTCAACAAGAAGACCGATGTGGGTCAGCGTGTAATCGAAGTACCAGCTCATCCTCATTCCGATCCTGAAGTCTACTTCGTCAACTACGAAGACGGAGAAAATCCAGCTCTTCCCATTGGTGTCGACCTTGAGACTGCTCTCAGTACAGCCGCCGCAACTAGTGGTCAGATTCTTGGTGGAGATGGAGGATTTGGTGGAGCTCCAGGCGCTGCCGGAGGCCTTGATGGATTTGGTGGAGATGTAGGTGCTGCCGGAGGGCATGGTGGATTTGGTGGAGCCGGAGGTGCTCTTGGAGGCCATGGTGGATTTGGTGGAGCCGGTGGAGCTCTTGGAGGCCATGGTGTATTTGGTGGAGCCGGAGGTGCTGCTGGAGGCCATGGTGGATTTGGTGGAGCCGGCGGTGCTGTTGGAGGCCATGGTGGATCTGGTGGAGTCGGAGGTGCAGTTGGAGGCCATGGTGGATTTGGTGGAGCCGGAGGTGCTACTGGAGGCCATGGTGAATTTGTTGACGGCACTGGAGCTGTCGGAGGCCATGGTGGATTTGCTGGTTCCGTTGGGGTTGCAGGAGGCCTTAGTGGTGGCCACGGTGGATTTGGTGGCGTTGTAGAAGCGGCCGGAGGAAGTCTGGTCAGTGGTGGTTTCGATGCTGATGATAGCCATGAAATTATCAGTGGCGTACTCGCTACGTCTCCGATTATCGCGCCTACTCCTTCTGGAGTGTATGGTACACCCTGATACAAATCAGCAAAAGTAACTTACGGTAAAAACATATCTATATAAATGTACATTTTTAGAAATGAAAATATGTAAAACATATATTACAACCGAAATAAAGTTGACAAGTACATTTCTTACATTCTTTCAATTAATTTGTTTATTTCTTTCAATGAGGGATACTTCCATGTATTCCTTTTATCCTGCTTTGCAGAGCTTGCAGTATAAGGACATTTCTGCATATTTTAAAGTAACAGTATGTAAATATACTTATAGAAATATGCATATGCATATATCCATAGAAGCACATACATTCACATATATATATGTGTGTGTACATCCATAGACATACACATATATGTATATATGTGTGTGTGTGCATCCACACACACATACATATATGCCATACACATATGTCATCATCGTAACGATGGCACCAGTGCTAAAAATAATATAAATATGCATGTGTGTGTTACAGCTACCATCGCATTTTATGGGTGTTATATTTGTCATCATAATCATTGTAATGATGACAAAAAGGAAAATAACCAGAATGTTTCTCATTTCGTTAACAGAAATGGTGAAAAAAAATCATAACAATAATAATGATAATGCTAACGTTGAAGATAATGACTGTGACTATGGTGATGGATCATGGTGATGTAAATGATAATGATAATGAAGATGATGTTATCTTTATTCATATTATCATTTTTGCTATCATCATTATTTATATTATTATTATTGTTACTACTGTTATTATTTCTTTCATCATTACCATTATTAATAATTATTGTAATAATAATGATTATTATCATTCATTATATCCTTATTAATGCCATTATCATTATCATCGTTATTATTATTATCATTACTACGATTACTTCTATTACTTTTTCTATTATCATTGTCGGCATTATTACCATTATGATTAATTATATTATCATTATTATTATTATTATTATTATTACCCTAATTATTTTTATTGTTATTCCTATTATTATGATCATCAATAACATCATCATATCCATAATTTTCATATTTATTACAATTATCATCATTATTATTTCCATTTCTCTTCTTATTATCATTATCATTATTACTATTATTGTTAATATTGTTTCCATCCCTATTATTATTATTATTATTGTTGTTATCTTTATTATTGCCATTATTTTTATTATTACTATGACTGTCCCTTATTATCATCATTATTCTCAACTTTATGAAAATTATTATAATTATTATTATCATATCAATGTCATCATTATTATCATTAACCTTATCATCATTATTATCATTAACCTTATCATCATTATTACTATTATTCTCACTACTATTGTCATTATTAATATCACCATTGTTATTATTATGATTACAATCCTTTTTTGTAGTAGTAGCTGTCATATTAGTCGTAGTACTGGTAGAATAATGATGATCATTATTTTCCTTATGATTAATGTTATTACCATAACTTCTATTCTATTTTATTATTCACTTTCCCATGAGTAATATATTCATAATAATTATTATTATTACCACCATTACTATTATCATCTGGTGAATATATATCACTGCGTTCATACAGCAATGTACAGATAGTATAAAATCAGACATTAAATGCGTTGGCACATATTATAGTATTTGATCATCAATTAATTTAATCCGCCGGGAACATATAATTTCGGCTGTAGCAAAGTATTTATATAAATACGCGTTGAATGATTTCCCTTATTCTTGACTTTTCGGGATTTTCAAAGATTATGTTAATATTGATGCAGGTATCATTACTAACATTGATATTATGCTTTTTATAATGTTAACAATGCAAAGATAATTATAATATACAATAAACATTAAAGAAAATCAAGGGAAAGATAAGACAAGTGAGACGTGTAGCAGGAAGTTCATCATTGTTTTATGAATAATCAAACAACCATTGACAGAATTACTTTTATACATATGAATTTGTGAACAGAGTAACAAGATACTTCTGAAAGGAATCCGGTGAGAGGGGCCCTAACCTGGAGAGAAATGAGTGAAGGTCAGAGCTACAAGTGAACAGTATATAAAGCTGAAGCCTTTTTGGACTCGTACAGTCATCCAACATGAAGCTACTGGTAAGCAAGCTTGAGATTATTTATATACAGATTTTTTTTTATAGTTACCGTATTTGTAGTTTACACGTCATACTTTAAACACGATATGTACTACTGCAAATTATTTAAGTTTGTATCAAAGATTCATGTGAGATCTACATGAGCTACAGCCTTTGTGCATACAATAGGTAATATTCAGGTATTATGTAAGACTTTGAAAATAAGAATAGAATCTCCACAGATCATACTGCCAGTGCTGGTTGCTGCAGCGTCTGCAGCGCTTCAGACTTACTCTACCCCTGAAGCAGGTCATGATGGACACTCTGGTGGTGTTCCTCTTCTTACAGGAGCTGGGCATTCAGCTGGCGCTGGCCACTCTGCTGGAGCTGGCCACTCTGCCGGAGCTGGCCACTCTGCTACCGCCGGCCACTCTGCTGCAGCCGGCCACTCTGCAAGTGTTGGACCCGCTAATGGTGCTGGATTTGCGGCAGCATGTAAAGAAGGTGAAGTCCTGCACGTAGATGGTACTTGTGTTACCCCCGAAATTAATAGAAAGGTATACATTTTCGACGTACCTGAACAACCTAAGGAACCTAGTGGTCCACCACCTGTCATTCCTCCACCTCGTGTTGACCACAATATCCTCTTTGTGCGTCTACCTGAAGTAGGACCTGGACCAGAGCCTATCGTTCTTCCTCCGCCGAGGACAGAAAACATCGTGTACGTCCTCAACAAGAAGACCGAAGTGGGTCAGCGTGTAATCGAAGTACCAGCTCATCCTCACTCCAACCCAGAAGTCTACTTCGTCAACTACGAAGACGGAGAAAATCCAGCTCTTCCCATTGGTGTCGACCTTGAGACTGCTCTAAGTGCAGCCGCCGCAACAAGTGGTCAGATTCTCGGGGGAGCCGGAGAATTCGGTGGAGCTTCAGGCGCTGCCGGAAACCTTGGCGGATTTGGTGGAGCCGGAGGTGCTGCTGGAGGCCATGGTGGATTTGATGGAGCCGCAGGGGCTACAGGAGGCCATGGTGGATTTGTTGATGGCACTGGAGCTGTCGGAGGCCATGGTGGATTTGCTGGGTCCGTTGGCGTTGCAGGAGGCCTTAGTGGTGGCCACGGTGGATTTGGTGGCGTTGTAGAAGCGGCCGGAGGAAGTCTAGTCAGTGGTGGTTTCGATGCTGATGATAGCCATGAAATTATCATTGGCGTACAAGCTACGTCTCCGACTATTGCGCCTACTCCTTCTGGCGTGTATGGTACACCCTGATAAAAATCAGCAAAAATAACTGACGGTAAATGCATATTTATATAAATGTATATTTAGATAAGTGAATATATTCATTATATATGTAAAACATATATTACTACCGAAATAAAATCGATAAGTACATTTCTTACATACTTTCTTTCAACAATGGATACTTCCATGTATTCCCTTTATCTTACTTTATAGAGCTTGCTATATATGGGCATTTCTGCAAATTAATCCCATTATTAAAGTAACGATATGTACTTATGCTTTTGCATAGAAATCTACAAATGAATATATCTATAGCCACACATACGTAATATACATGTGTACATTCATAAACACACACACACATATAAGTATATGTGTGTGTATGTGCATCCATGCACACAATATATACATACATATATGTGTATATACATGTGTGTGTTATGTGTGTCATTATAATCACCATAATGATTATAACGACACAATACCCTAAGTTCCTTTGTGCGTCTTCGGGTAGACGCATAAAGGAACTTTGCCTCAACCGAGGGCAGAAAACATATGTCCGTGTACGTTCTCAACAAGAAGACTGGAGTGAGTCAGCGTGTGATAGAAGTACCAGCTCATCCTCAGTCCAACCCAGATATGTACTTTGTCAACTACGAAGACGGAGAAACTCCAGATCTTCCGATTGGTCAGGTTCTCGGTGGAGTCGGAGAATTTGATTCAAGAGGCTGCAAGAAGTCATTGTGGATTTGGTAGAGCTGCAGGTGGTGCGGGAGAGGCCTTGGTGGATTTGGTGGAGCTTCAGGTGCTACAAGAATCCATGGTGGGCTTGGTAATGCCGCAGCAGCTGCCAGAGGCCATGGTGGATTTGGTGGGTCCATTGGAGCCGCAGGACGCCTTGGCTGTAGTAGCAACCGGAAAAAAGTCTAGTCAGTGGTGGTTTCGATGATGATGATAGTCATGAAATTATCTTTTCCGATTATCGCGCCTACTCCGTCAGACGTGTATGGTACGCCATGATAGAAATAAGCATGGGTAACTGAACAATACATGTGTATTTATATAAAATAAATAGGTAAATAGTATGTGGAAAACATGCCCTCCTACCGAAATAAAAGAGATAAGTAATTTTTTTTCCATTATTTCTATGGATTTGTGTGTTCATTTCTTTTACCAGTGAATACTTCCATGTATTCACCTTGGCCTACTTTGTAGAACTTACAATATATGGGCATATCTGCAGATTAAGTCCATTTACAGTAACGATATGTAAATATTTACATATAGACATACATATATGCATAGACACACACACGCACACACACGCACGCGCGCGCGCGCGCACACACACATATATATATATGTATATATGTGATATATATGTATATATACGTATATGTATACAGATATTTGTATGCGTGTGTACCTATGCATATGTATGTATATATACACACATACGCACACGCACGTAGACTTGTAAGGCTTTGTGTTAAGGAAAAGACCGAAATTATCCACGTAAGCTGCGGATGGCAGCATAGGGCCGAAAGAATGAGGGAGGGAGCCCGTTCACTTCCCCTGTCCCATGACCTAGGTACATATCCCTTAAGAATAGGGTATAGTTATGGTATTCCTGACCATCCCTTCTGAATGGATAAAAACAAAGCAAAAGCAAAGTACCATTGGTAAATGAAAATATAAATAGTAAATAAAAAAAACAAAAAAAAACACGAAAACTCGTTCTGAAGAAACCGAAGCATTAAAAGGGACTTAAACTTTAAAAATGGGGTATCCCTGATTGGTACTGACCAATGTAAAACAAAAAAAAACTTAGGTAATAAACTTTAATTTATCCACGTCCAGCATTTCCTAAATGACAAAGACAACTCCCTTATGGGTTTATCTTCCGTGGGTATTTATACATGCGGTCCACATCGTCGTGGCAACAATTGTTTTAACACAACTTATATACAAATATTTAACAGTAAATTATTAACATCATTATTCAAATAATAGATAGTAGTAAAAGGATTAAGAAAAACTAAATAAAAGATTAAGATAAAAATACATCAAAATATACTAACAGGACGTTATAACACAGTATGTAAAATCAAATAAACGGTACATTTAATCTGTAAAACAAAACCCAGAACAAAGTAAATCGTTTAGCAATACATATGATATCCCGAGTATCCTCTATTTTTTTTTAGAAATATCGAGAATGAAAGTGGGAACATGGGAAGTCGTGAAGATAAAAAAACGAAAAATCAGAAAGTTATAAAACAATTATCTAAGATAAATAAATAATAATAATTAATAAATCTGAAGGTTTAAGTAATTTTAAAAGATGAAAACCTTACTTAACGTAAAATGAATGTTGTAATAAAAGGGAGGATCCGGTGTTAAAAAATATATTTAAATACGTTGAAGCCATAACTAAAAGAAATAATTGTATAATAAAATTAAAAACATTTAGATCCCCCTCTCTAAAAAAAGACTGTACATTCACCAAGGCTTATTCGCCACTTATTGATTCGGAGCATTCGAAGCTCAAGGTGGAAAACTCGGGAGACATTAATTATAATATTTTTGGGGGGTTATACATATTTCAGCAAACATTGTTTGGCAGCAACAGTGTAAACGTGTTGGTTTGAGTGTGTGTGAATCTTCTGCAGCGCCACCCACTGGATTACCCAAGTTCTGATCAGGATTCGGGATTGGGTATTGTGTAGCGTTTCTTCCATCGATACCATTATATTAAAACAGGTTCTTATATTTCCTTCATAAGATTAAAGTGGGCTTTTCCCACAAAATCAACACTCCCTTAAATATAGTTAATGCAAATGGTAGAGTAGCCAAAGTTTAAGGGATTCAGAGTTTATGTTGTTGATGAAGGAGGCCGTTCTAAGAGACAGTTCCATCGTTTACTTTATTAAAACCTTTAATAAAATAGACACATAATTCTTTACAAGGCACATTGAATGTATAGGAGTTGCAATGTCTACGTGGTGATTTACCCTTAGTGCCTATAATTATCTGATAAAAACGGGACGCATCCTCCAACACTAGACGAGCTCGTTCCTTCACAGAGGCAGCTTAAAAATGAGTCAGTAAGCGAGTAAGAGAGGGGTTAAAGGTCATATGCCCCCCCCCCTTTTTATAGACTTTAGACCTGAGTTGTCATTAGGCCTTTTTACCAGCAATTCTGATTGGTTAGTAACATAGGTATAAGAAAACCACAGGTATGGGAGACTGTTCTAAATCATTAGGAGTTTAGGTGCCACATAAAACATATTGTTCCGGCGTAAGATCGTAGAAGCACGAAACCATTTCAGCGCATCCGGGGCGGCGACGTCATCCCGCATCATAGGGCATCTTGAGGGCATCCTCAGCGCATCCGGGGCGGCGACGTCATCCCGCATCGTAAGGCATCACTACAATTGGGTATCAAGGGTGTCGAGGGGACAGGTTAGGGCATTAGGGTGGAGGATAGGGGTTAGGTACGAGGACGTAAGCTTGAGGAAAAGTATGAAAATGAGAGAAATAAAACGAGCCGAGGGATGGAAATAAAAGAAATGAGTACGAGATCACCGGAGGAATAGAGAAGGTAGAAAGCGAGAAGGAGATTAGTATGTGAGAAGAGAAAGATACAAAAAAAAAGAAAACGTGAATCACGAAGTAGAAGAGAAAGAGAAAAATGAACGAAAGGAGTGAATGAGAGAAATGAGGAAATGGAAACGAGAGAAAAGGATAAGATAGCATACCGAAGGAACGGGGAAGAGGAGAAAACGAGGAGGAAATTAGCATGGTAAGGAATAACGTAAGATTAGAAAGGGAAAGGGGAAAATGAATGAGGAAAGGGAACAATTGAAATGAATGAGGAAGAAGTGACAGCAAGAGAACGAGAGAAAGCAGTTAGAAGAGGCGAAAAATAGCGAGTAGAGTAAATAGGATACAGATGTCAAGATGATACGTGAGAAGGAGGAAGGAGAAAGAGAGAGAGAGAGGAGTGGAAAAGATTGGAGAAAAGGGTAAAGGGGGAGACTAAAGCAAAATGTAGGTGTAAGGGAGACTAAGGGAAGCAAAGGTGAGGAGGATAAGGTGGGAGAAAGTAAGAGGTTATGGTTCAGGATGGGGGGAGGGGGTCGGACACCTCACACACGCACACAAACACAAATACAAACATAAACACAAAATTATATATATACATATATATATGTATATATATACACATATGTATATATATATATATATATATATATATATATATATATATATATACATATATACACACACACACACACACACACACACACACACACACACATATATATATATATATATGTATATATATATATATATATATATATATATATATATATATATATATATATATATATATATATATATACATATATATATACAGGTCGATCGTCCTTGGTGAACTTTACGAACTTTCTGGTCTTCATTCCTTTGACAGGCAAGTTGCTGGCAGTATACTCTTTATATACTAACGTAAGTAGGCTGACTGAACAGGGTTCTCCGACGGGCGCGGCCGTATTCGGGCACCAGAGAATTGGCACCGTTTCGAATGACCTTCGGTGAATCTTTTCCTCGATATGAAGCAGACAGAATGGTGATCTTCAAAGTCGATCAAGACATTAGGTTCTTGGGGCATGCACAACATTAGTTCGCCGACGGAACCTTCAGAGTAGTTCGTGTTGAATATGTGCACGAAAGTTTCATCTATCCATGTGTTTATGCTCTACTACCTGATATGAGTCGGAGCTGTACAATAAATTACTTGACAAAGCACTCAACCTCATTCCCATTTGCATTTTACCCACGACATTTCAGTCATGCCAGTCATTATGGAAAACAGCAATTTATGTCCTCACTGCATAAATCCCTCAAGTCAGTAGCTGTTATTTTCATTCTGGTCATTCAGCACGGAGAAAAAATCAGGACAAGGTCTGTGACAAAAAACAGAGGGGATCCTGCCTGTGCGCTCGGCGGTTGATTGAACTTGCATGATTTTTGCAGATGAAGCTTCAGGGCGCAATGGTATCTTAAAGGTCATTCGATATTATCAGGACATATATGTAGGGCAGCTAATAAACAACCAAGTTCACATACAACCATATATGAAAGAATAAAACAAGACCTGCCACAGACTAGCAACTCTCTCGAAGGATGATACTAACCCAGGGGGACCAGACGGGGGAGGCGTTTGTCAATTTCGGCAGGATGAATAGGCATAGATATTTTGATGCTCCAGAAGTAGGGCACCAAGAGGCCTGGGGCGACACAACATCTGAAGCTCGTACGCGGCAGACTTCACGAGATCTCTGACGTGCTACATCCAGGAGAGCTTTCCGTCGATGGTGACGCCGAGCAGCTTAGAACGGACTAAGTCGAGCGGGTGGTTGTCCAACGTAAGGGTGCGAGGGCGGGGTCGGTAAAGTCGAACTGCATTACGATCGACTTTTGGCAGTTTATAGTGACATGGTTTGCGGTGGTCTAGGCGAGGAGGTCGAGGGTCAGATGGCGGAGTGGTCAAGGCAGGAACTGTCAATGGCGGCGGCGATGGTCGAGTCATCCACGTATTTCCTATGATACTCGGTGTCCAGGAAAGCGTCGTTGATCATGACGAGTAGGCACAAGGGGCCCACTCTAGTCCCCTGAGGGACTCCGCACGGGAGTAACAGGAGGCTGGAAACTTGATCCTGCACGCGCACGGTCTGTTACATGTTGGAGAGAAAGTCTGCCAGCCATGGGAAGAGGCACTCCCTGATGTCAGTGGAAGCTGCTGCTTTTGAGATGACCGTGGTGTGGCCCAACAGGTCGAAGGTTATCTTGAAATCTGTGAAGACGTGTGTAAGTGTAAGTGTGAGTAAGTGTGTGTGTGTGTGTGTGTGTGATAGAAATAGAAATATTTTTCATGTGATTTGTTATGGTATACATATTTTAGTAGAGCTGTTTGTTTAAAGTAATTTCACATCGGTAATGACATGGAAAATATAAGTGACTTCTTGTCTTTTTGTTAATCAGGAGTTGTCTCAATCATTAAGTGTCGCTCACCAATGCAGTCGACACAAAAACAACACACGGGAAAGATGTATAGTTTACTTACAAATATGTAAAATGAGTAACATCATAACCTCTATCTATGTACATACGCATACCTACATATTTATACTGATAGATAGACAAATGGATTGATGAAGAAATAGATAGGCTGGTAAAGGTAGATGTATACTCTTTTATGAATACTTGCAAACAGGTTATGGACGAATTATTAGCATAAGCTTTGCCCATATATTATTATTATTATTATTATGTTGCTGTTGTTTTAATATTATCATTATCAACATCATTATCATCAAGATCACCATTTTCATCATTACTATATTCGTTATTATGGTAACATTAGTAGGATCAACAGCAATAGTAGATATTTTTGTAGTAATAGTAGTTGTAGTAGTAGTTGTAATAGTGGTAGTGTTATGGCTAGTAGTAGTAGTAGCAGCACCAGCAGTAAGTAGAAGCAGTTGTTGTTATAGTAGTAAAAGTAACTCTAGTGGTTATTGCGGTAGTAGTTGGAGAAAAAGGAAAAAAGTTGTAATAGTAGCAAGAGGAGCCTTTTGAATACAATTGTTGTTATATCAGCATCATAAAGATAACAATACCAATAACAACAGTAATAAAGATAATAACATAAATAAAAAGACAATAATAATTATTACTATCATTGATATTGTCAGTATTATCATTAGTATCATTTAAAGAATTGTTGATATTACTGTTGTAATTCTAACTGTAGTTATTATATTTAATGCTATCATCATTGCTATTATTACTTTTCTATTATTATTATTATTATTATCATCATCATTGCTACTACGACTAATACTGCTAACAGTAATAGTAATAGTAATGGTAAAATAATAATAACAGTAATAGTATTGATAATAGTAATTATAATAATGAAAGTAATAATAATACAACAATGTTATTAACAATAGTATAAATAACAACATCAATGATAATAATGATAATAATAATAATAATAATAATAATAATAATGATAATAATAATAACAATAATAGCTATAATAATGATAGTAATAATAATGATAATAATAAATTGATGGTAAAACACTATCGTGTAGCTAACATGGTAAAAAAAAAAACATTATCACCATTATTACCAGTAAAGGATTTATATATATTGTTAGTATTTCACTACGGTTAAACTTGATTACTTTTTTATATAAGGTGTATTATATTTCTTTTATTATAATATCTGTATACGTTTCAGCCTACTGTTGTTCTTATTGTTACTTGGATGCGTATGCTGTGTTGCAGATTTGCTAGATCTGCCTTAGGGAAAGGCTTAATCGATTACATCTATTATAATTCTAATCATTTTTTCTTTCAGTTACCGATTACCAAGTATGAGTACTTTTAAAATTTAGGAAGGAAGATTGAATATAATTTCATGTAATCTGAATGTTTTCTTCATCATCACCCTACATAGCAACATTATCTTACATCACACCATCGATCTGCCATTACTCCATGACACCATTACTCTTCTTCTTCTACTGTGTCATCACTTTGCCATTCCTCTAGCGCACCATCACTTTGCCATTTTCCAGCACATCATTACTGCTATTCTTCTACCACACCTTCCCGCCGCCAAATCAGAGCTCTGTCACTCCTCCACTACACCATCCTACCATCAATCCTCAACACCATCACTCTGCCATGTCTATGTCAAACCAAGACCGGATTTAGTGGTGTGAAGGTCCCTGGGCAGCCTCTGTGATGAAGCATTCCTACCATAGGGGTAGAAAAAATGAGTTAATATTGCCATTTTGCAGTTTATATGCATAATTTTTAAGTCTTTGTAATATATAGGTAGATAAATAGATATATATGTGTGTGTGTGTGTGTTTGTGTGTTTGTCTGTGTGTGGGTGTGGATGTATTGCTCCATTCCCCACGTTACTATGCCATTCTTCCAACACAACACCACTTTGCCATTCCTCAACCATACATTCACCGTGCAATTTTTCTAATCACATCATCACTCCCTCTCCTCCGTCATACTACTTTTCTCCCAACATTCCACCACATCCCTAAGCTACTCTTCTAGCACACCGTATCTCTGCCACCCTTCTAACACACCGTCACGATGCTATCCCTTCTGCCACTTCACCCTACATACCCTCCACCATACCAACGGTCTGTAATTCTACCTTCATTACCATTCCCTCCACCACGCCATAATCCTACCTCCCATCCTGCACAATCTTGCACTGTCACTCCTCTTTCACACCATCACCTCACAGAGGTTGCACATCCCACTGACCAACATTTCCGACAAAGAAAATCGAAAAGGGAAATCAATAACAAATATATTACATTCCCAAAATTAATCAGTAACCCCGATCACTAAAATTTGTGGTATCACCTTCCCCTTATGAAAATTGTGTAATTTATGATACGGAAGGTTGGCCTAATCTGAAGAACATACCATTATCGTCCTTATTACTATAACATCTATCATCATTATCACTATATTTGTGTTGTTGTTCCTGCTGTATTTCTTGCTGTAATCATTATAATTATCACTACCATCATAATTTTCGTCACTATCATTATAACCTTTCTTTTTATTAGCGTTATAATCAGCAGTCATTATAGAACGAGCAATTTTTGTCATTATTGCTAATATTGTTATTATCACTATTATTATTATTATTACTGTTATTGTCATTTAATGATTTTGTTGCAACTGTCATTCTCATGTTTTATTATTGATATTGTTATTGTTATTGTTATTATTATTATTATTATTATTATTACTAATTCTCAACACAAAGCATGTGATCTTTTTCGCTTTGGAATAATCACTATGAATGCGGGCACCAACCAGCTGCCAAAGAACTCACAGGTCTCTGAACCAGATTTTTTTAGGAACCAAGTACCAATCTTAATACTCTTGCTGTCCCAAGTAGCGCTGTTTTCTGTACATGCTCGATACAAATTTCTATCCCAATCTCT